CAGAACTCCGGACCGCATGTGTATGCGTTGAGGAACGAATGCGCTGTTGTCCTTTCCGAGGAGTAACGCGTTCACCACCACATCATGCGGGTCCTTCGTTTCGCCTGTTACTTCCTTACTCCCTAGCAAGGACAATAGCGCTTTCGTTCCCCACCACATACACCTGCGGTCCGGAGTTTTGCAAATATCTCCGCATCATTGAAGTTATATTTCGCAATATACCCTGCCATTAAAAAAAGAGTAAGCAGAAAGTAAAAACTGGAAATATTGATAGTGTTTAGTGGAAAAATATTGATTATTGTACACAAAAAATTGAGCATCAAACTGGTTTGATTGGTATTTGTGCTGGCTTTCTCAGCGTAAAGCATGGTGAACTGCTTTTTAACGAGAATGTCGGCAGTACCATATTGAATTGCCTAGTTTTCCACACGCATACTCTCAACATTGAAAATTTTCTAGCAGAGTATTCTTTGGTAGAATATGCTACATTCAACGTCTCATAAGCGGTGCTTCGCATTATTCTCGTGGGCGCTTCAGAAACGTCCAGCTCAGTAGCGAATGTACGAATTGCGGAAACCGAAATAAGGTGAGCAAAATTTTTCTGGCACCAGGTTAGGCTCTAATGTTGGTTTTCTTCAACAGTACACATTTTTGACGGCCAGGAAACCCTCAGCTACCGACTTTTGGAACAACATCATTGTAGAAGACATTCACATTTATGGAGTCGAATACTGCTGTGCCGTGACCAAAGTACTATAAGCAAACCATGTTGGTATCAACCACCATCACCTAAAATCAAGGAATTATGAGCGTGGCCTTGCATAATGCATGGAAAGCAGTTTGAATGTCGCTAACAGCATTATTTCATTCTAGAATGTACGTACTGTACGAAATTATTGGGAAATTCCTTAGAGATATAGTGCAAAACTTTCTGTAATATTGAAGTCATATAAAAATAGTAGTTACTATTGTGATATTATGTGAATGTTCTTAACCCATGAAAACTATGTGCATTGATTCCAATCCGTACGATGCGGAGGAATGGTCGTTTGCAACCTTAAATCGGAATATCTCAGCTCTTTGTGATGTTTGCTAAACGAACTGAAGACTTTTAAGCGTTTAAGATCCTCGCGGATGAGGTACAGGTTGTATTATTCTATACAAGAGTTATAATCTCTTTCTCTGTGATTTAACCACCAGGCTGATCGTTCACTAATAGAGTTCTCTCTGCTGGAGGTGACCTGAAAGAATTAACGCTTTCTTGTCATCATACCGCTAAGAAACTTTCTGTAAGGTCTCAGCAACTGAAATAGGTTGGTCCACAGCATGTACATCTTGTTTTTCATCGAATGTTGTGTGGTATTCTAAACATTCCTCTGTTGTAGCCAATAGTATTCCGGGTTTCTAGATGGTGGAGTGGTGAAGATCAAGGGTTTGAGCCAATTCGTACATGCTCGCTCCTACTTCTGGTTTATGTCGTCATTCGCCGTTATTTTCAAAGAAAGAACGAGTTCTCGAAATTTCCGATTTGCGAGGCTTACATTGTGAAGCTGCTCCTTTGCACGAGATCTACTGTCCTGCGGCTCCTTGCCCGTTGTCGTAACAGAAGATCTTGGACTTAGGTAATTAAACGGTTTGTGTACAACGACAATAATACAACCGAAACGAAATAGAGGTAAGAAGGCATCAGGTGTAAAAAAATATAGGCAATAACGTGACCACCTGGCTGAGGTAGTATCGAGAGCAACAAGGAGCACTAGAAGTGGTAAAATATCTTACGAAATAGTGGAAAAGTATGATACAGGATCAGTGGCGGATCTGCGGATAGGCGAGACTCACGGGAGTCTAAACAAGGGTGAGGATCGTTAGGTAAACAAACAAAGTGCAGCAGTCAAAAAGAAGAGGTGAAGATTTATTATACTGGTGGATGGAATGCTAAGTCGAGACAGAAGCGTGCAAATTATACTGCAGGGTATGCACGTAGCCATCAGAAGGAAACTTGTCACAACGATTCATTTGCACTAGGAAGGATCAAAACAATCATGGTAACAACGGTGATAATTACTATAGTTTGTGGCAATGACAACAAAACGTGAAAGCCAGCTCCTACGCACAGTGGAGAGATTGGGGTCTTCTGCAAAGTTTATGACATGTTCAAATATGGAATGTTAAAGGAAATAATGGAATCCAGCGCTTGAAAGCATTTCTTGGAGCAATAACACCCATCACATTCTCAGACGGTTTTCAGTGGTTATTTGCTCGGAACTTCCATCCTCCCCACCGTTTTCAGCGATTGGACAAACTCCTGGAAAACAGTGGCTTTGCAAAGAATTACCCTATAAATTTGAAACGATCTATAAGAGAAGAGAGATTTCAATTCATAAGTGAACGGTGAATATCGTCAAACCTGTGTTCTGACAAATCCATTCAACATGAGGGAGAACGCTTTCGAAGAAGCTCTTGAATTCTGAAGATGCGATTCTTGTATTTATTTCTGATTTGCTTACAGTTTTATGAAGTACTTTTCTCGGAAAAATTGATAGGAACCAGGAAGCCAATGGCACTGTTATTTTGGGGTCTTTTGCTGATGTGCCCTTATCCACACAAAAATTCTCAAACAGTTAGTCCATGCCGACCTATTTTCCATCGCCTATGTTAACTCATAGTTTCTGGAAAATAATGTTGAGAGAACCCTTTCCATACCATTTTATGTAGTTATTCTAAATTACGTCATTTGGTAGATAGCAATGAAAGCGTGTGGCGCAGTGGTCGGACACACACGTGGAGTTGATCCCCGCGCTCATGGCCCACCAAGCCCTCCATCCCTCCGGGGATCAGAAAATTGGGACCACACTTGTCTGGGAGGATGGCAGCACTGGCTCGATACATCGCTAAGCCACCGCGTGTTATTGTAAAGGTCAAATATGTATTCAATCATCTCCGAACGATGCTTAATGAAGTCAAATGCATGGCATATCACTCAGGCATTAATCAACGCCGAGAGCTTTATCCTTTTTAAACTTGGCAGTTCTCCAAGTCAATACTGAGAAAAATTCTATTAGACAGTATCACAACCGTTATAAATTCGAAAACCATGAGCTGAGTGTGAATATTTACTTTTAGCCGCAGATTTCCAAACAGTTTCGAAGTCTTTATTTTTTAAGCCAACCGTCAGTGAACCTCGGCATTGATAATGGATACCTTTTTAAATTATGAAGCTAACACGAGGATGACAAAAAACATAATTCGACCAACGTTTCAACGCTTCGTTTTCCTCAGAGCCAGAACGATTTGAGTCGATGATCCACAAGTTGTCGTCGTCGCCGCCAAAAAGCAGATCATGATGTTACGTGAGGTCAGCAGGTGGAAAGCCGTCTTGTATAGGAGGCACTGTCGAGTGACATCCTTCAGTAGAGCGGTGCTCCACTCCAAGCGATTTGGATCGATGCGACAACAAACACTCACATCATAAGGACGACCACCTGTGGACCACCGAGACGGATTAATCCGATTCTGAAGGAAACAAAGACGTCAAAACGGTATCTGAATAAACTTTTTTATTATCCTCGTATTAGCCTAAGAATCCAAGAAGGCATCAAAAATTTTGAAGCAGTTAAAAGTTTTTTCAGTACTGGTCTCTTTAGAAAGTAAATGTGCAAGTTCTTAATTATCATCAAAATCTTACGCTGTTGAGCATGCGACTGTATTCATCAAAAAACTTTATAATTTCAGCTTTCTATTTACTCTCTACTACAATTTTTCATCGTAGGGTGTTACGTGTGATACAACCACAATGATAATGAGATATTCGCAAACCTGCGGACCGCAGGTACCTGCAGTAGGGAATGAACGCGCCACAACCCTTTCCGGGGGCATACGCGCCCACCACCACGCAATGTGGGTTCTTCGCTTCGCCTGACTCTCAGGTAGTCCTATCTACCAGCGCCATCAGCAGTCACCTGTCAACGGGATTGGTCTAGGTAGGCCAAATCGGCAAATGGTGTGGTGGTGAAAAATTTCAGATTTCATACTTCTTTCCGTTTCCACAAGATTTTTCTTCCTTTGGTGGTTTCAGGATCTCAACAACGTTATACGAGAAGGACGACTATCTACCAATTATATAACGAAATTTTGTATGATATAAATATATCTTACTTACTCACTTGGTTACGTGGATGGCCCACCTTCACCGGTTGTAAGGGCTCCAGCAGTACTTCCATTTCCTCCGAGTTTCCCTGGTTTAGCCACTGTGATTCCCTGGTGTCCCGAGGTTAGCCTGGCCAGAAAAGTCTGCCGCAAGTCGTCACCACCTCAGGAAGTCGCTACTGTTGTGGATCAAAAGGCTACTTGCTACCGTGCGACTAGTTTGATACCAGAACGGTGGTCGCTCCTGATATTAGTTTATCTTAGCTCCTGATGGAAACGCTAGACTCCTTCTCAGCTCGGGAGACCCTTCCGGAGGGATGAAATCTCCTCTTGTGCATGGCAACTCGACACCCAAGAACACCTCCCAGTTATGATGAGGCGTTAAACCGCTGGAAGGATATAAATATATCAGTCATATTTACTACTAAGTGGATAAATCTTCTTTATAGTTCGTCAAAGAACGCATATATCACGGCGGAAGGTGCTCTGCAAAACGCATTGACTTTACAAATTGATCCAACCGTTTAAGAATCACTTCTACGACGTTTGATGGAGTCGAGTGAATGCAGCATTGCTCAGCAATAAATAAACGCCGACCGCTTTACTACTTACAGTTTGTTATTCTTCAGTGCGGACAGAACAGTGGCGGAATATATCACATTAAGCATTTACACGACATGAGACAATGTCCACAGTCTATCCCACGTACTCTGCTTCAAAATCTTTATCAGCATTTCAGCATGGAATTATTGTTAAGAGCAACATCACCAAAGTAGACTACCTTCATGGGTGAAGAAGCAGGAAAATCAGTAGAAATTGTGCCATAGCTGGCTTGACTTGTGAAGACAAATCATTCACATAGAAGAGCGTCCTACAAAGATCATTTCACGCAACCTCCCACCTTGTTCTGGTCGATCTTTCACGTCGCAAGGAGGTTTTGAAGCGCTACCAATTCCTAAGAGTACATAACTACCAGTGCTGTTAACTTTCACCAGTGGTCCACCGCTGTCACCCTTAAAGAGGTAAGAGAATATTGAATTATATGATCAAACTACTTACAATTACTCATAGATATAGGGAGAGTCCGTGCATAATTGTTTCATTGAGTAGCATATCAGTGTTTACCTTACAAATGGATTTCCCTTTTGCGGTCGCCGTTATTCGGGTCCCTGCTTGATATCTTGCCGTTAGGTCTACTGCACGTAGTTTATTATTCGTTTGAGGAGCTGAAGAGCACACAAGAAGTTCATACAGTCGAAATAGGCAATCCATACTCCACTGTAATCCTAATTATAAGTGTTAAATTAATTAAAAAGGAAATCCAGAATTTGGATCTGAAAATGGCGCGTAAAAAATGAGAGAGCGTCCTTAAGAAGAACAAAGAAACTAAAACAAAACTTTAATGGTGCTGACATAGCCCGTATAATCGATAGAACTAGCTGACAGACAGGTGAAACGAAGGACCTGCATGGTGTGGTGGTGAACGCGCTACTTCCTTGAAAGGACAATAGCGCATTCGTTCCCCACCACAGACACCTGTGGTCCGGAGTTTTGCAAATATTTCAGCATTATACGAGTTCTATTTCGCAGCATACCCTACCGTTAAAGAGAATAGGCAGTAAATAAAAAGGTTAAGATGGTGCTGACAGATTTGCAAAACTGCAGACCGCAGGTGTCTGCGATGGAGAGCGAACGCACTATTGTCCTTTCCGGGAAGTAACGCGCTCACCACCACACCATGCGGATCCTTCGTTTCGCCTGTCTCTCAGCTAGTTCTATCGATCTTTTGCCATCAGCAATCACCCATCAACGGGATTGGTCTGGGGGTCCAAATCGGCAATGAACCTAGTTAAGCTGAGGCTGCAGTTATAACCACAATTTTTATTATATTATTATTAAACTTTATTTCGTTTAGTTTATTTATTTTTTAGTTTATTATTAAAGTTATACTTCGCAATATGTACCCTGCCACTAAAAAGAGTAGGGAGTAAATAATAAGTTAAAATTAAAATAAAACTATATCAACTTACGTTTCACTCCAAATCCCATTGCAACCACATCTTCAAGAATTACCTCATTTTTTGAAGGCATACAAATTGACGATCCATCTCGCTGTGAAATTTTACTCTTAACCAAAACTATGGCCAAATCGGTCTTGATTTGACAAGGATCGTGATCAGGATGAACGGTAATCTGAAAAGGAACATATTACCTTCGTAGTGTCGACAAGGCACAATGTACGGCTTTTTTTACCTAATGAAAACTTTTATTACTCCATGGAATCTGAGTACCGGCGATCGCAAATGAGAGTTGAAATTTCGGTATTCGCTGACCTAGGAGATATGACAGAAACTAAGAGAACTTACTTCGGCTGCTCTGTATACATTTCTTCGTACCCAACACCGCTTCTCTGCTAAATTAGGACATGCGCTTCCGGCAATTATTATCAGATCTGAAGGCAATAGTGGCACATATCGCAGCCTGAAGGAAACGACATTAGCTTCTAAGTCGACATTTCGATTTGAGCTAATGCTGCTTATCACCATTTTAAAAAAGTAATTGCCCTACCTTTTCTCTATCCTTGTGTCGCACCGCTTCACATTTTCATGAATTCGGACCACACAATGAGCGGCCGTCAGAAGGTGTTGTGAAGAGATTTGAACTGCACTGCACAATTCCTTTTCGATCTGCCAATGAGGGAAATCCAGGTTAACTGCAACGAAAACCGCCTCGTTTGTAATTTTTAAGGTCTAAAATAAACCAGAGCCGTTGAAAGTACATTATGGAAGCGACATGGAAGTACTCTTTGACTATCCACATCATTAGGAAGCCGCTGATGCTCACCTACTTTAGTCATAGGCACAAACAGAAGATTGTGAGCATAATCACCTATACCTGTGGTCTTTACCAGAAGATAAAGTGATCGTACAGCTAAGATTTTTCTTAGGAAGCTACTGATGATCAGCCACCTCAGCGATGCGGTAGAGCAGATTGATGTTGGTCAACATAGCCACCTAAACCATCGATGTGCCTCGTGCTTGCTAAGCAGGAATATAAAAATACCCACCTATGTTTGTGCCTTTGCTAGGAGATGAAGTTATTCGACCGCTCAGCTGAGGTTTTTCTATGAACTCGTACTATATTTATTCTTTCTTTGATGAGCTTACACGTGGTTGATAATGATGTTTATTTTCGGCTAACGTTTCGACGTCTTCGTCTTCCTCAGAGACGATGATCCGAGTCGATGGTCCATGCTTGTTATTCGTCTCGACGTGGCACCCGAGTCAGCTCTTCTTCGGTGAGCAATCTCCTCGAACGAGGCATCCTTACTCAGTGATGCCCTTTTCTACACGATGCTGATGGTGGATATAATGATAATGTCCGGTGATAACAACTTGTTTTTCTTCCGTACATAATCATCGCGCACACTGTGCAGAAGTCGGTGTTATTATCAGCTAGCACAAAGCGTAGTAATATTTGTAGTGAGCATGTCAATGTGTTCCTTTAAATTCTCTGAAAATCCGAGAAACGTGGTCGCTGTTTGACAGCACATCAACCTATGGTGGGCGAAGTTCATCCACGTGTGAGATAGAATAAATCTGATGCCACTTGTCATAATGCAATACGATAGTGATCGATTCATCGTTATCATATTCATCACTTATTCTTTTCACCGTTAGCCATCTAGTTTCAACCACTTTATATCCGGAATGTTCGATCACACAACGAGTTGTCAATGAAAATAAAGAAATATACCTCTTCTGATGAACAACGCAGAATTCCAAGGAAATTCATTTGTTTTGACGTCTCTACCACCAATAGATCTGGTAGTTCGTTCTGAAAATGATTTGACACACGTATTCGCTTCAGCATGGAATCGTCCATGAATTCGAATGAAACAACAAGTTGCTACGCAGGCACCTAAGAATGCAGTTCGCTTTGGCTTATGATGACCTCCAACTTACTGAGGAAACGAGAGCCACAATTGTGTTTAAGATAAAGATTCTCTTCAGACGTGATATTGTCCGAATTCACCAGAGCAAGCACGAACAACAACAACCAGCTTAACATTTCAATGCTTTCCGACAGCAGCCTGAAATCACAATACTTTAACTTTTATCAGCCCATTCCTTTTTCACGGCCGGATATTACGTGGAATGTAACGGCGATGATCCTGAGATATAAGCAAGGCTCGAAACCAAGGGTGGACCTCGAACGCGCTATCACCCTTTCCAGGGGTGGCCCTAGATATTCGCAAACCAAACTTTTGCTGTGACAATGGCCTACTCACTAAACATTCTATTTCGAAATTTATCCGACCCGAATTTATATCAAAATCTGCTAAAGCCGTTCTTTCATTCCTACATTGAACAATTTCTGTGAAGAAGTTAATATTGTCTATTCTCCCATTCCATCGTAGAATTGCATTGCATTTGCCACTCGAGTGACACGATCTTGGTCACTCTGCTGCTCTAGGAGTATAGGGAACTCATCATTACCTCACACACAAGATAAGCGCGGACTTACACACGCCACCTCACAATACAATCGCTATGTTTGCTAAATCCTTCAGTGAAGAAACCGAGATGGATTATTCTCAGTTGATAGTCAGTCGCCTGAAAATGTAGAGAGGAAAGGGATAATTTCCCCTCTAGCCTTTCGGAGTTATTCAGTTACAGATTAACTACCAATTAAAACTGAGCTCTGTCCAGTAAGTTTGGTTTGTCATCCGCATCAGATGTTAATTGTTGATGGGTTCACATAGTCTGTCTCCATCTGTCTCCATCGCATACGAGGGTAGCTCAGTGGGTTCTGCACACGCTATGAACTTGCAGATCATCACATTTTTCTTCTAGGACCCTTGTGAAGTGTTATCACCATAATATCCGTAGTCTTCCTCCTGTGCGTTTAGAATTCCAAAGAATGCATTCATTAGCGGCTGTTTGTCGGTTTCCGTTCAGTCACATTACATGTCCTCATCATTTCCCATATTTCAGTGTACAGTGTGGAATCTAACCATTGGCTTAGGTGGAAAATTCGGATTTCACTCACTTACTTGCGTGGTAAGAAATGCTACAATATCGCCCTCTTGACTGCAAGCTCAATAGCACCGAGTGATCTTTCATAATGTTTACGTAATAACCAGGTTTCTAACGCGGACGTTGAAGCTGGAAGAACCGCGGTGTCAAAAACGAGGGCGTGGACTAGCGAGTGTGCTCAGTCCTCACTATATCGTAGATGATTTTGAAAGGAAGATCCCTAAGTAGCTTTCCTCCGCCTACTGAACTCTGAAGCGAAGTCATTCATCATGTTCACTTCTCCCTAAATTCCTCATGAACATCTTTTCAGTGGGATTTAGTCGAAGAGCAATCATTTCACAAGTGTTGTTGAGGTCGGCAAACATTCCCTCGCCTAGCTAATGCACGATGTTATAAGAACGATATCATCAACAGGTAGAAAAAGATGTAATTACCTATCATCGATTTTCACTCTTATATTCCCCCATTCCAGTATTCCCATGACGTTCTCCAGGGTGGCAGTGAATAATTTTGATCATAACGCCTTGCCTAACCCTTACTTTGACGTCGATGTTAGTGCCGTTGAATAATGATGATATTTTCATGGCGAAACTTTTATGGAGCTCATGAAGGACTTTATAGACTGAATAGGAAAGAGCAGGGCGTCTAGGGCTTCCATCACTGCATGTGCCTTAACTGAGTCAACGGTTTCTTCGAATAGATACATGTGCAATAAAGGCGCTCGTAGAGCAATGACTGGAGGCGCCCTGCAATACAAACGCGGGATTGATCCCTGCGCCACTGGCCCCAACAAGCCTTCCATCCCGCCGAGCTCGGAAAATTAGTATCAGACTTGTCTGGTAGGATAGCAGCACTGGCCCGATACATCGTTAGGCCAACGCAAGTCGTTATAAAGGTCAGATATGCATTCAATCACCTCCAAACGATGCTTAATGAAGTAGAACGCATGACGCATCTCCCGGGGATTGATCAACATCGAGAGCCTTTTATCCTCTATACGTGTGCGACAGGACAGTCTCTCTCGATTTCGTGGTATTTTGATAAATTTTGTGATCGCACGATGTGGTCGCATGTAGCAGAGTGGTTAAAGCTGTTCTGCAATAAAGAAGAGTAAAATCACGCACGTCAGGCTCACCAAACCTTTCATATCTCCGGGTTCTACAGATCGGTACTAGACCTGTCTGGGAGGACAACTGCACAGACTGGATACATCGGTAGGCTACCGTGGCTCAATGTATAGTCCAGATATGCATTCAGTTACCTCTAGAGATGCTGGATGAAGTGAAATGCATTGCGCACCCCTCTGAGGTTGACTAATACGTAGATCTTTATTCTTTTTTTATAGGGTTCTGGTCTACCTCGCTGAATCCTTTTCGAAAACCTGGTTACTCCCATAGCAGCCTTTTGTCTGGTGCTATACCGATTCTGTTAAGGATGACCCGAGAGAACAGTTTACAGACGAGGTGTAGAAGGTATATTGGCAGATAGTTTCCCATGTTGCCTTCTGTATTTTTGTAGAGGAACAGAGTCTGGTTGGTCCACAACTGACTAGAACATTGAACTTTGACAGCTAACGTATTAAGAGCCCTCCCAAGTGTCTATTTGGACTGGTGAAAAGTTTGTCAGATGTTTGAGTCTCTAATTCTGTCCGGATCTGCCGTTACACAGTTGTCCACCGACGGGATAAGTTGTCGAATTCCGAAGGGAGGATCGCAAAATCGGTATATAGAAAACAGTTCAAGTGAAGGCAGAATAACGTGGCTTTTGGAAATATCAGAGTAGAGCTTCGATCTGGGGACTCGTTGAAAATCGCAATTTCTTCCAGGCTTTTCGTGAACAGCTCTGACTGCTGGGTCGGCGGCTCTCTTGCAGTACGTTTGACATCTTGAGGAATCCAATCATTAACGGCTCTTCTCCATCGGTTTTGTTCACACGCATTACGTGTCGGACCCACCATATCTTCGATAGTTTGGCGAACAGAAGGGCATCTTTGACTTTTGATTGTTGACGCATGTCGGAGCTCCAGATCCCATCCCTTAATTGGAAAACGGGATACTCATAGCATCGTCCTTTCGACTGCGCGTTCGATAACGCTGAGTGACCCTTCATCTTCCTTACGCAGCGACCAGGTATCTGACGCATACGTTAGGGCAGAAAACACTGATGAGTCGAAAAGGTGGGCACAGAGTCGGGTGTTCTTTTTCCTCCCGACTGCTTCCATCTTAGTTGAGTCAAAGGCCTTCTTTAGATCGATGAAAGTGAGACAGCGCGGTCTTTCGTGCTCACGCGGTAGTTCTGTAACGAGTAGTTAGCGGGGAAGTGGGGCGGCTCAGATCGTGTACAATATTAGCCACGCGAACCTCTTAGTTCTTGTATTAATCTACAAGCCTCAAACTTGGGTAATTATACCATTTATATACATAAATACAACATCATTAACATAATAGCAACGATAGAGAAGCAGTGGTAAAGGAATCGCGCGAGTTAAAGCTATATAGTGCGATGGCTAGTAGTGAAGCGAGGATAACAGCGAGATAATGGCATTTGAATATTACTGCATCATTAATACAATAATAACAGTAATAATGAATGACTACATACAAGTAACCGTTGGTTAGGCGTGAGCGATGCCGTGCTCGCACTATCAGCGTGGCCGACGTAGCGGCTGAGGGTGACAGTATGCTGGGGCGGAGAGGGATACAGACGAGCCGTGTTTTCGGCTCAACTAAGATTTCAACAATATAGCGATGAGCTGCATTTTAGTGGATCGATGAGAACAGTAAGTTACATGAGCGTCGACGGTGCTATGGCAGTGAATGA